TGGGGCGGGGACTGAGGCAGGTTGGAGGGGCTATGGAGGGCAGGGAAGCGTGTGCCTTAGGCTGCCTTTTAAAAACGTTCTCTTCACCTGTTGACCCTATAGACATGTTGACCCTGTAGACCACTGTGCCACGGATATGGCCAATAGGAAAACTTGCCAGAAAGAGGCCTTGCCTTACTTTTCTGTTTGGTTTCCTTGTCAATGCTTGGCCATTTCAGGTTCTTTGGAAAGGATACATCTACCTCATTATAAAGTATTAGTTACTTCCCAACAACTAGATCAGATCCAGTGAAGGATCTAGTAAAAATAATACCAGATAAAAGTCACTGTGCTAGGGAGCTCTGGTGGCCTAGTGGCAAGACACTGCACTGCAATCCCAGAGGTATGCGGTTCAAATCCACCAGATGCTCTGCTGGAGAAGGAGGGGGTAATCTCCTCCTGTACCAGTCAGATCTGATTTGACGGTACACTTAAAACAAAACAATATAATAAAAATTTAAAAAAAAATTAAAAAAAAGAGTCACTGTGCAGGTTTGTTCCTACTCGTAGCGGACCTGTGGTATGTGGTAGACCCGTCCTAGAGGGTTTCCAAGGCTGTAGATCTACAATCAAGCACACAACCTCGTCTGTCTGCATTGGTAGCCCAATACTTAATCGGAGGAAATTACCTGTTAATTAATTGGTTTGACCGGTAAAATGAGGGAATGGGAAAGTTTCTGAAGCCTTTTCCAACTCAACATTGTCATGCATAAATGAACCAAAACATTTTAAGTGAGATCAAGAGGGAATACAACAGTAAAGGACAAACTTCAAAGACAAGCCAGTTGAAAATGAGGTACTTCCTTACCTAATACATTAACATAAAATGATACATTTTTTGAATGCTGGAAAGGATATGTTGAAATGGACATTCTCATAAATTTTCCAAAATGTTTGAGGACAATACAACCCTTCTGGGTTTCTATCAGAAGGTTCATTCAATCTTCCACCAGTAGCACATAAAAACTTCTTATAAAAGTAAACAAAATGTGACCAGAGCAATAAAAAAAAATGCTATAGATAGCATTACTTGAAGTGCTCTTTGTACTATTGCCTAGTGGCAATCTCCTCCTGTGAGATTAACTGCTTCTGAAAACCCATTGGAGGATCAGCTATGGGTGGGTTCCAACTCAAAGATACCCAGCAAGCAACAGCAGTGACAAGAAACTGCACTGCAATCCGGAAGGC